AAAAAAAAAAAAAAAAAAAAAAAGAAGAAGAAGAAGAAAAAAAGAAAAAGAAAAGAAAAAGAAAAACCATGAAAATTGGAAAGGGAGAAGTAAAATGATCTCTGTTTGACATAATCTTATATGTAGAAAACAAAACATTCTACAAAAAAAAAGATGTTAGAACTAATAAACAAATTCATAAGAGTTGCAGAATACAGGATCAACACATAAAAATTGTTGTGTTTTAATACACTAATGATAAAAATCCAAAAAGAAATTTTTTTTAACAGTCCATTTCACAATAGCATCAAAAAGAATAAAATATTTAGGAATAAACCTAACCAAGGAAGCAAAAGCTGTGTACACTGAAACTACAAAACATTACTGAAAGAAATTTAAAAAGACACACATAAATAAAAGGCATCATGTGTTCATGAATTGGAAGACTCAATATTGTTAGAATGTTAATACCACCAAAGCAATCTACAGATTCAGTAAAATCCCTATCAAAATCCCAGTGGTGGTTCTTGCAGAAACAGAAAAATCTATCCTAAAATTCATACGAAGCTCTATAGGGGCTCTGAATAGACAAAACAATCTTGAATAAGAAGAACAAAGTTGGAGATCTCATTTCAAAACTGATTTCAAAACTTATTACAAAACTACAGTAATCAAAACAGTGTGGTACCGGCATAAAGACAGACATATAGACAGTGCAATAGAATAGACAGCCTAGAAATAAAACCTCATACATATATGGTCAAATAGTTTTTGACAAGGGTAACAAGAGGAAATGAGGAAAGGACAGTCTTTTCAATGAATAGTGTTGGGAAAACTGGATATCTACATGCAAAAGAACACAAGGATACTTCAAAAAGTTCAGGGAATGATTTACATTAACTTTCAATTCTATTTTTCCTTGAATTTTTTTAAGTACCCTCATAAGTTGGACCCACACTTTATACCATATACAAAAATCTGTTCAAAATGGACAAAATACCTAAACATATGAACTAAAACTATTAAAATCCTAGAAGCAAACATAGGGGAAAAGCTTCATAACATTGGATTTGGCAATGGTTTCTTGGATATGACACCAAAAGCACAAGCAACAAAGGAAAAATAGATAAACTGAACTAAATCAAAAATTAAAACTTCTGTGCATAAAAGGACACAATAAACAGAAGAAGGCAATTTGTGGAATGGGAGAAAATATTTGCAAATCATGTATCTTATAAGGAATTAATGTTCATGGGTTATATGAAGAACTATAACCCAGCAGCAACAACAAAAAAACAATGTGATTCAAACATGGGCAAAGGACTTGAACAAACATTTCTCAGAAGAAGATACACAGATGGGCAACAAACACATGAAAAAATGCTCAGCATCACTAATCATTAGGGAAATGCAAATAAAAACCACAATGAGATACCACCTCACACCTATTAGGATGGCTACTACTAAAAAACAGAAAATAACAAGCATTGGCAGGGATGTGGAGAAATTCGAACCTTTGTGCATTGTTGATGGGAATGTAAGATGATGTGGCTGCTGTGGTAAACAGTATGACGGATCCTCAAAAAAATAAACATGGAATTACCATATGATCCAGCAATTCCACTTCTGGGTATACACCCAAAAGAACTGAAAGCAGCATCTCAAAGTGATATTTGTGCACTGTGTTCATAGCATCATCATTTACAATGGCCAAAAAGGTAGAAGCAACTCAAGTGTCCATCGAGGGATGAATGAATAAACAAAATGTGGTACATCTATACAATGGAATATTATTCAGCCCTAAAAAGGAAGGAAATTCTGACACATGCTACAACATGGATGAACTGTGAGGACATTGTGTTAAGTGAAATAAGCCAGTAACAAAGAGACAGCTACTGTATGATTCCACTTACATGAGGTACCTAGAGTAGTTGAATTCATAGAGACAGAAAACAGAATAGTGGTTGCCAGGGGCTGGAGGGCGGGGGAATGGGGAGCCAGTGTTTAACAGGTAAAGAGTTTCAGTTTTGCAGATGAAAGGAGTTCTGGAGACTGGCTAACAATAATGTGAATGTACTTTTAACACTACTGAACTGTATGAGGGTACTTCAAAAAGCTCATGGAAAGATTTATATTATCTTTTAATTCTATTTCTCCACGAACACTTTGAAGTACCCTCATATACATAAAAATGATTAAGAAGGCAAGGTTCATATTATGTTTATTTTACAATAATTAAAAAATGTGCATATCTTATGTGTTAACATAGTAACATAGTAAACAAATGAATATTTTTCAGAAATAAAAAGTTATGTCAGATGACATCCCTCCTCTGCTCAGGAACCTCCCGTAGCTTCCATGTCACTCAGAGTGACAGCCCAAGTCCCCACCACAGCCCACAAAGCCTTGCATGGCCTGGACCCACCCCTGACATCCCGAGCCCCGCTCCACCATGCCCATCACCCACTCCACACACACTGGCCTCCTTGTTGTTTGTCCAACTCAGTGGGCACAGTCCCATCTCATGTCCTTTGCCTGGAATGTCCCCCCAGAAATCTATAGGGCTCAACTCTTTGCTCAAATGTCCCCTTCCCTGATCATCCTACTTAAAATTGCAACCCCCACCCCCACACCACCCAAAACTCAACATACCATGTTCTATGTCTTGCTTATTTACTTTATTCCCCAACTCTCCCATTTCGTGTGCCCATAGGCTCTATGAGGTCAGGAATTCCATCTGTGTCATTCAGTGATTTATTCTCGAGCCCTAGAAGAGTGCCTGCTACATAGTAGCACTCAATAACCACCTGCTAGGGCCGGCCCGTGGCTCACTCGGTAGAGTGCGGTGCTGATAACACCAAG